TGTGTGTGTGTGTGTGGCCAGCTCAGCCCACCAGGGGGCGGGGCTGGCTGGCATGTGGTGCTGGGGGATTGAACCGCGGTCCCTGTGCTGTGCTTAGCTTAGCTTGTTCTAAGTAGGTGGTTTAGACCACTGAGCCATCTCACTAGCCCAGCAGTCTGATTCTTTTAAATTAATCAGCAATAAATATTCTGAAATGAAGTAATGAAGGCTACCAAGTTTTTGTGTTGACTGCATTTTTACATATGGAATTTGCTACCTTTAAATGTGTAAATGACACCACCATTTTGAACTATGAATATAGCCCCTCCCCTCAAGACCTTGAAAATCAGTAACCAAATATTCCTAAAGAGGGAGAAAGCCCTGGATTATACCCAGAAACAAATCCAGGCCTCTTATTGCTGATATTTTCTCTGAAAACTCTTCTTCCTTTTTTTTTTTCCATGTATAAAAACAGCAAGATTGGGCTAGATGATCAGAGAGAACCTTTCTGGGCCCAGCCAGGGTTATTATTAACAGCCAGTACTTTGTAAATCTCCAGTGCTCACAGTCCCAGGTGCCCTCCCACAGTGGGATATTCACCAGGAACTAACATGGGCTTAAGCCCAGTGGCTGGGTGCAGGTAGGTGTGGTCATTAGCATATGTAAGTTGTGTGATCTGAGACCCAAGTAGGTCTTCCTGCTTCCATGGCTAGAGCTCTGTGCTGTTTTTCCTAAGTGCTTCCTGACAGTGCTGTGTAGAAACCACTCCTCCTAGCCACACCAGAGCAATGGAGTGGCTTCTCCCATGCTGACAGAAGGAGCACACCTCTGTCCAGTAGGATGTGAAGTCGCACAGGGGAGCAAGTATCTTTGGAGGACCTTAACTATTTGTTAGACATTATGTAAATGTGAGTGACTAAGCCACCTATGGAGGGAAGTTGGATATGGTCATTAAGATGCTAAATTCCAAAGCTATAATTAGGAAGTAATGAGTGATTAAATTATACCCTGGGCCGACATTTTCTTGATTGTAGCATAGTTAGCTTTCAACTCTGGCACTTCAGTAGGTTGTTGTCAGCCTTGGTTAACTCAGTGTGTCCTTCTCAGCTGACAAATGCCAGGTGACCCCTGTGCTTGGTAACAGAGTGGCAGTGGAGGGGACTCCAAGCAGGGGGTTCACCTAGTCTTCTAGATTAATACTTCAAAACATGAAGTTGTGTGTGGTGGTCTACACCTGTAATCCCAGTACTTTGGAGGCTTAGGCAAGATGATTATAAGTTCAAGGCCAGCCTGTGGGACTTAGTGAGACCCTGTCCTGGCATAAAAAAGAAAAAGGGCTGAACATATAGCTCAGTGGTAGAGTGCCCCTGAATTTGAGCCTCAGTACCACAAATAAAAACAAGACATCAGTCTGTGGGTCTAGGGATGTCAACTGTTTTGTCATGAGGACAGACTTCAAAAAATAAAAACATTGGGGCTGGTGAGATGGCTCAGTGGTCTAAAACACCTACTTAGAACAAGTTTAGCAACGCACAGGGACCGCGGTTCAATCCCTCAGCACCACATGCCAGCCAGTCCCGCCCCCAGGCAGGCTGAGCTGGCCACACACACACACACCAAAATAAATAAATAAATAAATAAATAAATAAATAATAATAAATGATCTTTAAAAAAAATAAAAAAATAAAAACATTGTTGCCATCATTTAATAAAGAGAAACACCCAAAAGAAATGTTTTAGAACAAAGGATAAGTATTACATGAAATGGTTTTCAAGACAGATCCATTAAAATGTGCTTGTCTTCTTCTTCTTTTTTTTTTTCCTTTTAAATTTTATTTATTTATTTATTTGTGTGTGGCCAGCTCAGCCCACCAGGGGGTGGAGCTGGCTGGCATGTGGTGCTGGGGGATTGAACCGCGGTCCCTGTGCTTTGCTAAGCTTAGCTTAGCTTGTTCTAAGTAGGTGCTTTAGACCACTGAGCCATCTCACCAGCCCCTGGTTTTTTTTGTTTGTTTGTTTGTTTATTTATTTATTTATTTGTGTGTGTGTGTGTGTGTGTGTGTGTGCGTGCGTGTGGCCAGCTCAGCCCACCAGGGGGCGGGGCTGGCTGGCATGTGGTGCTGGGGGATTGAACCGCGGTCCCTGTGCTTTGCTAAGCTTAGCTTAGCTTGTTCTAAGTAGGTGCTTTAGACCACTGAGCCATCTCACCAGCCCCAAAATGTGCTTGTCTTCTACATTACTCCAGATTGGAAAAGTATTTTTCAGGGACCGAGACAGAGTCACAGCAGAGCACTGCAGCACCATAGGTTCCAGTGAGGGCTTATAACTGGGGGGGGACATGGAAGCCAGAGTTCTTGGTTCCGTAACTAAAGGCTGCTTGAGCTACCAAAGCTGACCTTAAGTTACCTCAGAGGGCTTGATACAGTTGTGCTCTGGTGATGAAAGGTATGTATGGGGTGAAAATGGAATTACCTGAATTTTTTAAAATGCCAAAATAGAAGGAAAGTTTTGGCTGTTAGCCAAACAAAAACAAAATTAGGCTTTGAAAACGAATTAGACCAACAGAAATTCATTGGTGTCCAGTTTTGACCTTGATACCGGTCTGTTTTTCCTTGCCATCACAGCTATCCGAGCAATCTTTCAAAACTCCAGATGTGCTCCAGTGATTGCACCAAGAGCTGGCGGCACAGGCAAGAAGGTCCTCAGTGACGTGGCCTTGCCTGAGGGTCTAGGTTCAGTTATTGGGCCTGCCCATTACTGTGGTGGTGTCATTCCTTGTGTTTTCCCAGAGCTGCTCACGCCAAAGTCAGGGACTTTTTCACATGGTGCTGTGGCACTTCTGTCAACAGCCTCCAAGCTCCCTTCATCTCGGGCTCGAGGATGCCTTCCTGTGGAAGTATGCTAGATGGCACATTCACATTGAGACAAGGGGTTCCAGACATGCTGGAGAGACTCCTCCTGCCCCGAGCACAGGGCGGCAGTGGAGGCACTAGGTAGCAATGAGGGCAGGAGGTTCAAAGGCCCTTCAGTGCTGTTTTCTGTCTCAGGCTGGCCACACATGAACATAATTTCTTTTGGTCACTGTAGCCTTCTCACCATAGTAGAAGCACTGAGAATATTTCTTGTATTTTAAGGAGTTTTCCAGAGGCCGTCTCTGATGCATGTTGTATTTCATGCTGGTCAGAAATGTCTGTTCCTCCCTTTTTTGCTGACAGTGAGGCTTCTTAGGGAAACTTCTCAGCAGGGAGCATGTTATTAAGATGGGGCCCCAGTCTCTTCACTATGATCCACTCCAAGGGAGCTGTGGGAGAGTGTTTTTAACCATGTCTTATTTTTTCCTGCAGTTTCATTGAACTTGTCATATCTTAACCTAAAAGGCTCATTTTCCCAACCTACCTACTCCCACCTATTTTCTGATGTTTTCAAAGAGAAATCCTTTGGTAACAGCTGAGGCTTTTCAGTTACTTTTTAAAGTCAGTTCCAGCCCGTGATCCCTTAGTATGAATCAGTGTTTCTAGGCTTGTCTTTTCAAGTGTGAAAGATGCGTTCTACTGAATGTCATATTCAAGACCTACAGGAATAAGAAACTTAACAGGGTTTTTTTTTTTTTCTGTAGAAGTTCTGCTTCTTTTGCAAAAGCCATCAGGGGAACAACGTGTGGTTTTGATCTTAAGTGTAAACACACTGTGTGCCTACATATATTTCAAAGATGAGGGCTGCAGAGACCCCAGTAGAACACACAAAGACTTCTGTAAAAATCTTGAGAATGCATATAGTAAGAACACCTGGAAACATCTGTATAGCTGAGGTGATGGGAGATGCAGGGCTGTGAAGAGTGGGTGGGAGGACTGGGCAGGGAGCTGCAGACAGTGGGTGTGAGGGACGCTGTCCAGAGATGTGGGCTGCAGAGGGGGCAGAAACGCAGCCATAATCGGTCCGCTTCAGCTAGCACTCAAGCAACACGCTTGGCCCTGGCTGCCCCTCTAGCTGTTCACTGTTTTTCTTGCTGTTGCTGGCAAAAGTCCTCAAAGGAGCTGGTTGCACATTCTACCTCCTTCCTGCCTCCAGGCTCTGCGTTAATTGTCCTTGTCCTTGTCCTTGTCCCCTCTGTGGGCCAAAGCCACTTTCAAACTCAGCGGGTCGGCATGACTGCACAGCTTCTTATGCTCTTTTCTCCTTAATGGGAAATTTCTTTTTTTCTTTTTCTTTTTCTTTTTTTTCTTTTTCTTTTTTTTTTTTTTGCAGAACTGGGGATTGAACTCAGGCCCTTGCACTTGCCAGAGAAGTGCTTATTCCACTGAGCCATCTCCCCAGCCCCAAAAATGGCAGAAGGATTTTTTTTTTTTTTTTCTTTCTTGCAATGCCTTCAGGACGGGTTTGGCTGGCTTGAGTTCTGGGGATAGAACCACAGCAACCTGAGCCCAACTGCTTTGTTGAAGCAGCCACTTAAAGAGCTGAGCTAAGGGGCAGGCCCCCATTAATGGGAAATTTCAAATGTACCAAAGTACACAGTAAATAAACTTCCACCTGCATGGACTCTATGGCATCCAATCTGGTGGTTCTGTGTATTGACTTAGCCACCAGCTCCAGCACAGAGACTCATGATTA